CCCTAATTGATGATGATGAGGCTGATCGCACTTTGGCAGCCTCGTCGTCATCAGGCTATTGCTTCCTTCCCGCATCATCAGGAGAAGAGGGTGGCAGGCTTGGCAGCGAGCAAAACAGTCGGTGGGTTGTCTCCATCGCCACACTCTGCCATGTGCCACTTTCAGGTCTCCTCACACACTGCTGGTGCGTGTTCCATTTTTTTGTCATAGGGTGCTGGCAGATTACGGGCCTCCCATAGCTGCTGCCAGGCCCCTAATCTGCCATGGGCCCTTGTACCGGGCCTCCCTCATGCTGCTGCCAGGTCCACAGTGTCTCATGCCATGTGCCACTTTCAGGTCTCCTCACACACTGCTGGTGTGTTCAATTTTTTTGACATAGGGTGCTGGCAGATTACGGGCCTCCCATAGCTGCTGCCAGGCCCCTAATCTCTGCCATGGGGCCCCTATATACCGCCTCCTCATGCTGCTGCGAAGTCCAGAGTCTCTCATGGGTCCCTGTACGGCCTCCCATTGCTGCAGTCTCCATCGCCACACTCTGCCATGTGCCACTTTCAGGTCTCCTCACACACTGCTGGTGTGTTCAATTTTTTTGACATAGGTGCTGGCAGATTACGGGCCTCCCATAGCTGCTGCCAGGCCCCTAATCTGCCATGGGCCCCTATAACCGCCTCCTCATGCTGCTGCGAAGTCTCCAGAGTCTCTCATGGGTCCCTGTACGGCCTCCCATTGCTGCTGTCTCCATCGCCACACTCTGCCATGTGCCACTTTCAGGTCTCCTCACACACTGCTGGACAGCATTGTGTTCAATTTTTTTGACATAGGGTGCTGGCAGATTACGGGCCTCCATAGCTGCTGCCAGGCCCCTAATGCCATGGGCCCCTATACACCGCCTCCTCATGCTGCTGCGAAGTTCCAGAGTCTCTCATGGGTCCCTGTAACGGCCTCCCATTGCTGCTGTCTCCATCGCCACACTCTGCCATGTGCCACTTTCAGGTCTCCTCACACACTGCTGGTGTGTTGTTTGATTTTTTTTTGACATAGGGTGCTGGCAGATTACGGCCTCCCATAGCTGCTGCCAGGCCCCTAATCTGCCAGGGCCCCCTATATACCACAACCTCCTCATGCTGCTGCGAAGTCCAGAGTCTCTCATGGGTCCCTGTACGGCCTCCCATTGCTGCTGTCTCCTCGCCACACTCTGCCATGTGCCACTTTCAGGTCTCCTCACACACACAGCTGGTGTGTTCATTTTTTTGACATAGGGTGCTGGCAGATTACGGGCCTCCCATAGCTGCTGCCAGGCCCCTAATCTGCCATGGGCCCCTATACACGCCCATGCCTCATGCTGCTGCGAAGTCCAGAGTCTCCTCATGGGTCCCTGTAAACGGGCCTCCCATTGCTGCTGTCTCCATCGCCACACTCTCGTCCATGTGCCACTTTCAGGTCTCCTCACACACTGCTGGTGTGTTCAATTTTTTTGACATAGGGTGCTGGCAGATTACGGGCCTCCCATAGCTGCTGCCAGGCCCCTAATCTGCCATGGGCCCCTATAACCGCCTCCTCATGCTGCTGCGAAGTCCAAGTCTCTCATGGGTCCCCTGTAACGGCCTCCCATTGCTGCTGTCTCCATCGCCACACTCTGCCATGTGCCACTTTCAGGTCTCCTCACACACTGCTGGTGTGTTCCAATTTTTTTGACATAGGGTGCTGGCAGATTACGGGCCTCCCATAGCTGCTGCCAGGCCCCTAAATCTGCCATGGGCCCCTATACCGCCTCCCTCATGCTGCTGCCAAGTCCAGAGTCTCTCATGGGTCCCTAGTACGGCCTCCATTGCTGCTGTCTCCATCGCCACCAACTCTGCCATGTGCCATTTCAGGTCTCCTCACACACTGCTGGTGGTGTTCAATTTTTTTGGACATAGGGTGCTGGCAGATTACGGGCCTCCCATAAGCTGCTGCCAGGCCCCTAATCTGCCATGGGCCCCTATTACCGCCTCCTCATGCTGCTGCCAGGTCCAGGCGAACGTAGTCACACAGGGAGAAACTTCTCAGTGTAATGAACAGAGAAATCAAACAGAAATGGCTGTCTCCGCGCAAACTTGAACAATGGTGAAACCATGTGACCGACAACGGGAAAAAAGAAAAAAACATGTCTGCTCCATTGCTGTCAAGGAAGGTCCTAATCTGCATGGGCCCCTGCCATGCGCCATGCTGGCTCACGTGTTCAATCTCAATGCTGGTTGCCAAATCCACCATCCCACTGCAAGACATCCTTAAAATGTCACGTAAACCTTGCATGCATTTCAGCCATGCCTACACACCTGCCAAAGCACTACCCTCCTTGAGCTGCAGCGGCAGTAGTTCTCTCGGAATTCCACAGCATCGCCTGATCTGTGACGTTGCAACACGCGCTGCCTGTTGTGGAATTTCAACCCTACACATGGTAGACCGCCTTTTACGAACAGCGAAAGGCCATCACCGATTTTCCTTATGTTACAAGCGGATAAAGGTATTCCCCTGTGTAACTTCGATGTCAGCCATACGGCAGCTCATTCGGCTGCTGTGACACCTGCCGCTTGCTCATGTGCCCTTTGAGATCTCCCACGCTAATCGTGAAGTTGGCATTTTATGGGATGAACGACGTCATTCCTCTGTTGCACGGCTCCTAACAAATGCTGTTAACAATGGCTGGTCAGGGTGCGGTAGACGTGGCGCACAGATCCAACGCCACATGAAACCCTGTGGGGGCAGGACAGGAAGAGAGGAGGAGGAGGTAGAGGAGGCCAACATTGTGCTCAGGAAATTATTGACTTGAAATGTGTGGTTTTTTTTTCCACTCAGCAGACAGGAGTGGAGGAGCAGGAGCAATCTGTAGAGGAGGCTGGAGACAGAGGCCTCCCATACGCTGCACCGTGGCAGTAATCTGCCAGTGGAGCATGGAGGTAGGGAGACCCTCGCATGCCTCCTTGCACAAATGGCCCATAGCATGCTCGGTTGCTTGCGTAGCGACAGCCGAATAAGAACCATCAGACAGAGGGATGACTTTTGGCTGTCCACCTTGTTGGACCCTCGCTACCGTTCAAAAATGGTGGCCTTTTTCACACCTGCTGAGAGGGAGGCCAAAATAACGTACTATAAAAACCACCTATGTAGTCAGTTGGTCTCTGCCCATTGTGCTGCCAACGTCCTCCTCAGACACTGTGGGCCCCTGTGCGCTTGCGTTCCCGCTGCCATGGCAGCAAAGGAGGGGTGGGGTGGTAGGAGCAGTGGCAGCTCCACCAGCAGCGGCTGCCTCAGTCTGCAGTCGATGATGAGTCAGCTTTTCTTCACCAGCGCAGTGAGGAAACTACTAACCAGCAGCCGCAGCAGCAGCAGCATCACGGGACCTGGAGCAGGACCTCAAACAACAGCTGCTTGGGCCTACTTGGACATGGGGCACCCTGCCAACCGAGGTAGACAATCCCCTTGACTACTGGGCAACGAAACTTGACCTTTGGCCCCAACTAGCTGAATTTGCCCTTGAAAGGCTGTCATGCCTGGCCACACTAGCGTGGCATCGGTGGAGCGCAGGTTTAGTGCGGCAGGAGGTAGAATTGTAACTCCCGGGGAGGACACGGGTCTGTGCCCACCCAAAGTGTGGAGAGACTCACGTTTTGTGAAAAATGAATATAGGCGTGGATTAGTCTGGATTTCAAACCACACCATGGGTTTCCTGACACAACTGACTAAATCCCTTTACCGCCATGAATCATGCTCAAATGCATGTGCCACTTTTGAGGTCTTCCTCACACACTGCTGGTGTGTAGATTTTTTTGACATAGGGTGCTGGCAGATTACGGGCCTCCCATAGCTGCTGCCAGGCCCTAATCTGCCATAGGCCCCTAGATATAACCGCCTCCTCATGCTGCTGCCAGGTCCAGAGTCTGTCATGGGTCCCTGTACGGCCTCCCATTGCTGCTGTCTCCATCGCCACACTCTGCCATGTGCACTTTCAGGTCTCCTCACACACTGCTGGTGTGTTAGAATTTTTTGACATAGGGTGCTGGCAGATTACGGGCCTCCCATAGCTGCTGCCAGGCCCCTAATCTGCCATGGGCCCCTATATACCGCGCTTCCTCATTGCTGCTGCCAGGTCCAGAGTCTCTCATGGGTCCCTGTACGGCCTCCATTGCTGCTGTCTCCATCGCCACACTCTGCCATGTGCCACTTTCAGGGTCTCCTCTCACACTGCTGGTGTGTAGAATTTTTTGACATAGGGTGCTGGCAGATTATGGGCCTCCCATAGCTGCTGCCAGGCCCCTAATCTGCCATAGGCCCCTATATACCGCCTCCTCATGCTGCTGCCAGGTCCAGAGTCTGTCATGGGTCCCTGTACGGCCTCCCATTGCTGCTGTCTCCATCGCCACACTCTGCCATGTGCCACTTTCAGGTCTCCTCACACACTGCTGGTGTGTTAGAATTTTTTGACATAGGGTGCTGGCAGATTACGGCCTCCCATAGCTGCTGCCAGGCCCCTAATCTGCCATGGGCCCCTATATACCGCCTCCTCATGCTGCTGCCAGTCCAGAGGTCTCTCATGGGTCCCTGTACGGCCTCCCATTGCTGCTGTCTCCATCGCCACACTCTGCCATATGTGCCACTTTCAGGTCTCCTCACACACTGCTGGTGTGTTAGAATTTTTTGACATAGGGTGCTGGCAGATTATGGGCCTCCCATAGCTGCTGCCAGGCCCCTATTAATCTGCCATAGGCCCCTATATACCGCCTCCTCATGCTGCTGCCAGGTCCCAGAGTCTGTCATGGGTCCCTGTACGGCCTCCCATTGCTGCTGTCTCCATCGCCACACTCTGCCATGTGCCACTTTCAGGTCTCCTCACACACTGCTGGTGTGTAGAATTTTTTGACATAGGGTGCTGGCAGATTACGGGCCTCCATAGCTGCTGCCAGGCCCCTAATCTGCCATAGGCCCCTATATACCGCCTCCTCATGCTGCTGCCAGGTCCAGAGTCTGTCATGGTCCCTGTACGGCCTCCCATTGCTGCTGTCTCCATCGCCACACTCTGCCATGTGCCCCACTTTCAGGTCTCCTCACACACTGCTGGTGTGTTGAATTTTTTGACATAGGGTGCTGGCAGATTACGGGCCTCCCATAGCTGCTGCCAGGCCCCTAATCTGCCATAGGCCCCTATATACCGCCTCCTCATGCTGCTGCCAGGTCCAGAGTCTCTCATGGGTCCCTGTGACTGGCCTCCCATTGCTGCTGTCTCCATCGCCACACTCTGCCATGTGCCACTTTCAGGTCTCCTCACAACACTGCTGGTGTGTAGAATTTTTTTGACATAGGGTGCTGGCAGATTATGGGCCTCCCATAGCTGCTGCCAGGCCCCTAATCTGCCATAGGCCCCTATATACCGCCTCCTCATGCTGCTGCCAGGTCCAGAGTCTGTCATGGGTCCCTGTACGGCCTCCCATTGCTGCTGTCATTCCATCGCCACACTCTGCCATGTGCCACTTTCAGGTCTCCTCACACACTGCTGGTGTGTAGATTTTTTTGACATAGGGTGCTGGCAGATTTACGGGCCTCCCATAGCTGCTGCCCAGGCCCCTAATCTGCCATAGGCCCCTATATACCTACCGCCTCCTCATGCTGCTGCGGCAGGGTGCCCCAGGTCCAGAGTCTCTCATGGGTCCCTGTACGGCCTCCCATTGCTGCTGTCTCCATCGCCACACTCTGCCATGTGCCACTTTCAGGTCTCCTCACACACTGCTGGTGTGTTAGAATTTTTTGAACATAGGGTGCTGGCAGATTATGGGCCTCCCATAGCTGCTGCCAGCCCCTAATCTGCCATAGGCCCCTATTAACCGCCTCCTCATGCTGCTGCCAGGTCCAGAGTCTGTCATGGGTCCCTGTACGGCCTCCCATTGCTGCTGTCTCCATCGCCACACTCTGCCATGTGCCACTTTCAGGTCTCCTCACACACTGCTGGTGTGTAGAATTTTTTGACATAGGGTGCTGGCAGATTATGGGCCTCCCATAGCTGCTGCCAGGCCCCTAATCTGCCATAGGCCCCTATATACCGCCTCCTCATGCTGCTGCCAGGTCCAGAGTCTGTCATGGGTCCCTGTACGGCCTCCCATTGCTGCTGTCTCCATCGCCACACTCTGCCATGTGCCACTTTCAGGTCTCCTCACACACTGCTGGTGTGTAGAATTTTTGACATAGGGTGTTGGCAGATTACGGGCCTCCCATTGCTGCTGCCAGGCCCCTAATCTGCCATTGGGCCCCTATATAACCGCTACACCGCCTCCTCATGCTGCTGCCAGGGTCCAGAGTCTGTCATGGGTCCCTGTACGGCCTCCCATTTGCTGCTGTCTCCATCGCCACACTCTGCCATGTGCCACTTTCAGTAGTCTCCTCACACTGCTGGTGGTAGAAATTTCCATTTTTTGTCATAGGGTGCTGAGGCAGATTACGGGCTTCCTCCATTGCTGCTGCCAGGCCCCTAATCGCCATGGGCCCCTAATACCCGCCTAATCCTCATGCTGCTGTCCTTTGGTCCACAGTGTCTCATGCCATGTGCCACTTTCAGGTCTCCTCACACTGCTGGTGTTGAATTTTTTTGACATAGGGTGCTGGCAGATTATGGGCCTGACCTATAGCTGCTGCCAGGCCCCTAATCTGCCATAGGCCCCTATATACCGCTTCCTCATGCTGCTGCCAGGTCCAGAGTCTCACTCATGGGTCCCTGTACGGCCTCCCATTGCTGCTGTCTCCATCGCCACACTCTGCCATGTGCCCACTTTCAGGTCTCCTCACACTGCTGGTGTGTTGAATTTTTTGACATAGGGTGCTGGCAGATTACGGGCCTCCCATTGCTGCTGCCAGGCACGTAATCTGCCATGGCCCCCGTACCGACTCCTCATGCTGTGACGTTGCAACAAGGTGGAATTCAACCCTACATATGTTAGACCGCCTTTACGAACAGCGAAAGGCCATCACCGATTTTCTGATGTTAAAAGCGGATAAAGGTACTCCCTGTGTAACTTAGATGTCAGCCATTGGCAGCTCATGCGTGACACCCTGCGCTTGCTCCATGGCCCTTTGAGGAGGCCACGCTATTCGTGAGTTGGCAGGACTATGGGATGAACGACGTCATTTCCTCTGTTGCACGTCCTGGAACAAATGCTGTTAACAATGGCTGGTCAGGGTGCGGTAGAACGTGGCCGCACAGATCTCAACGCCACATGACCCCTGTGGGGGCAGGACAGGAAGAAGAGGAGGAGGTAGAGAAAAAAAAAGGACATTGGTGCTCAGGAATTATTGAGTGAAATGGGTGGTTTTTCCACTCAGCGGACAGGAGTGGAGGAGCAGGCAAGCATCTGGTAGAGAGGAGGAGGAGGAGACAGAGGACCCAGACGCTACCGTGGCAGTATGCTGTGGAGATGGAGGCAGGGAGTCCCTCGCATTCCTTGGCACAAATGGCCCATAGCATGCTCGCTTGCTTGCGTAGCGACAGCCGAATAATAACCATCAGACAGAGGGATGACTTTTGGCTGTCCACCTTGTTGGACCCTCGCTACCGTTCAAAAAATGGTGGCCTTTTTCACACCTGCTGAGAGGCCTTGAAAGGCTGTCATGCCCGGCCAGTAGCGTGGCATCGGAGCGCGTGTTTAGTGCGGCAGGAGGTATTGCAACTCCGCGGAGGACACGACTGTCCACCCAAAGTGTGGAGAGACTGACGTTTGTGAAAATGAATCAGGCGTGGATTAGTCTGGATTTCAAACCACCAGTTCCTGACACAACTGACTAAATCCGCCATGAATCATGCCCCAAACATGTGCCACTTTCAGGTCTCCTCACACTGATGGTGTGTTCCATTTTTTGTCATAGGGTGCTGGCAGATTACGGGCCTCCCATAGCTGCTGCCAGGCCCCTAATCTGCCATGGGCCCCTATACCGCCCGCCTCCTCATGCTGCTGCCAAGTCCAGAGTCTCTCATGGGTCCCTGTACGGCCTCCATTGCTGCTGTCTCCATCGCCACACTCTGCCATGTGCCACTTTCAGGTATCCTCACACTGCTGGTGTATTCCATTTTTTGTCATAGGGTGCTGGCAGATTACGGGCCTCCCATAGTTGCTGCCAGGCCCCTAATCTGCCATGGGCCCCTATACCGCCTCCTCATGCTGCTGCCAGGTCCAGAGTCTCTCATGGGTCCCTGTACGGCCTCCCATTGCTGCTGTCTCTATCGCCACACTCTGCCATGTGCCACTTTCAGGTCTCCTCACACTGCTGGTGGTTTCCATTTTTGTCATAGGGTGCTGTATGGCCTCCCATTGCTGCTGCCTCCACCGCCACACTGTGGCTCCACACTCTGGTTTTGGCCCCGTGACTGGCCAAATGAGTGAAGTGTGCGGTGATTCTAAGATCGACGGCACTCATCTGCATGTCATACTGCCTGACAGTATTATTTCTCTTCCCCAGCAGACTCCAAGGGCATTTAAATTAAAGGTACAGTGTTCAGCACTAATATTAAGTCTCTCTGAAGCCTAGAAACACCCTTTTTTAATTTAAATTCACAGCGAATATATTCGACTCGAATCGAAATTTTTCTACGAATTCGCCGAATCAGTCGAATCGAATTTTTGAATACTTCGCTCATCTCTAATCAGTAGTGACAGAGGAACCCATTTCACAGGTAAAATCATGCAGGCAATGTGTTAAATCCTAGGTATACAACAGAGATTTCATGTGCCATATCATCCACAATCTGCAGGTATTGTGGAAAGAATGAATAGGACTGTCAAATCAAGAATTGCAAAAATGTTATTGGACAGAGGAAATACTTGGGTTGGTGTTGTATCATTGATTCTGATGAGTGTCAGAAGTACAACATCTTTTGCAACACAGTATTCTCCTTTTGAGTTAATGACAGGAAGGAAAATGCCGCTTGTGTTTCCCCATGAACCTTTTTTGTCTACACCGCAAAAAGAGGCAATAGAAAAAACAAAGTGGTTACAGATGTTGCAAGACAATCTGAACACGATTGTACCACATGCAGCTACTCGCATGCAAAAAATGGTTCCTACACATTCTTCTAAGTTTGAAAAAGGAGGACAAGTAATGATAAAAACTTTTAGAAAAACTGGACCATGGCAAAGCAATTGGGAAGGTCCATTTGAGATTTTGGGATGTTCAAGGAGTAATGGTACAAGTTCAAAGACCTCTAAATTCAGTGAAAAATGCTCGTAGACAACAACAAATGTGGGTACACACTGACCAATGTAAATTGTTTATACCGAGATAATGATACTGCATTTCTTTTGCAGAAATGGATTTAAAAAGTCTGGAAAAGAAAAAGAATCGCAGTTTCCAGAAAAAAAGTAAAAATTACAACAAAAGAACATAAAGAAAATCAAAGCAGTAAAAAGGAAAGACTTATCATCACAGGATTAATCTTTTTTCTAGTGACAATTACATCATTGGTAATCTACATCATAAACTTTTCCAGCAATGCAGAAGTTAACAAGAATGAAGCCCTACATAAGAAAGACATTACACTTATTAGGAACAAAAGAGTTTTTTCCTAAGGACAGTGACATTAATACAGCTGAAAACTTGTTAGGATATGTGTGCATAGGCTATGGAAGAACTTGTTGTATGGAATTGTATTTCGTTCATAGTAATGATATTGAAGTAAGAGCTAAAATAGAGTCTAAATCAGAATTTGTTAAATGCAAGGATCTTATATAATCAATAACAAAACTAGTAACTTTGAATGTAATTTATCAGATATGCGATACTGGTTAATAGTTTTAAAGGGAAATGATCCTACTATTTGGTCAGGAGATATTACAATAGACATACTGGAAAAATAGGAAGTTCTAAAACAGATATTTGGTATCAATTACAAAGTTATTCACACTTTCTTGATCCCGAACATCTGAATATAAATGGGAATGAAAAAGAGGACATAGTTAAAATATGGGATTTCCAAATAGCAAAAGCTTTGGTTCAAACTAAAGTCAAAGTAATTGTTACTGTGGTAGATTTGATTGTCCCACAGATAAAAATATCTCCTCAATCTTTAAGACTCATAGAAGGAAAGGATAATCTGAATTTGATGTGTAGTACACAAATACACCTACCTCAAAATTCATTATTAACTTGGAAAAGAAATGGTGAATTTTTGGGACGTTTTCATCACTATAAAACTAAAATTATCCATAAAAGTATTTTTGGTAATTTGAACTGGGATAATGATAAATTTGTGTATCATCAAAACACTATATCTATTAATGACACAGGTATATATGAATGCTGCATATCAATAGAAAATTATCCAAAGAAATGTGTAAATACAAATGTAATTGTAATATCCCCCAAAAGAACACAATGCACGGATAAGAAATTTATTCCAGCTAGTCCTTTCCAAATTAACCATTTCCAAACCAGACTCCTTTTGAGAGAAGGAAAGTTTGTTATTATATTGTGGAACTTCAACATTTCAGAATGGAAAATCTCAGCAAGATTTCCACAATGTCAAGAACATCTGGTTAATATGGAATTAGGTATTGAAAGATAGTTTGGAACGAATATTAAAAATCCTCACAGGAAAAAGCGTGGTATAGTTGAAGGTATTTTAGGAGGAGTTAGTACTATTGGAAGTATTACAAATAGTATGGACATTAGTACATTAAAGTCTGATCTCGAGACAGCT